CGCCTCGTTGGTTTGTCGGTTTGTGCCGAGCTGTGCTAAGGGACCTATAAGCAATTTTATATGCCTATACACGCAGATTGTTATATAAGCCTGGTACCATTTTTATGTATGTTAAACCTCTCAAAATAAATAAAAATTCTGATCTAAATATATGAAGAATTCAGAGCGGAGACGTATTAAAACCAATTTATTGTGAGGCTACACGTTGACCGTGAATTTGAGGCAAAGGAATTTAAGAACGCCGAGCGCAAGAACTCTGAACAACTTCTCAAAAAACATTTTCCGTCAAAATAAAAACAGGAGGAAAATTTCAAGGGACGAAGGTCAGAGAAGGAGTGAAGCCTTAAGGGCGCGTTTGGTTGTAAAAGCCCCTTGGTGAAAGCCTGACAAAAAGGTAAGTTTTTAGCTGAAAGCTGATAAAAAAAGCTCTTTTTGTCAGTAAAACAGGTGCTTTTGTCAGGCTTTCACCAAGCCTATTTTACAACCAAACGGACCCTTAATATGCCTATGTCGGCGTGAGCTAGAAACCGAAAAGAGGAAACTGCAATTTAGTTGGTTGCACCATAAAAATAGGAATGTGGGTGGTTTGGATACTTCCAATTTTATCCCTCCTGCAAATTTTAAATAATTGTGTAAGCTGTTGGGGCTTGTTTGGAATTTTCTAAAATTGTGACACAACAGGTGTAGGTCACCAAAAACTATGACCAAAAGGGTGCATTTCTTTTAAGGGCCTGTTCGTTTGCCTTAAAAAAATGGGAAATCAAAGAAATAGAAAACTATTTCTAAGAAAAATGGATTTTTGAATTGTTTGGTTGGCTAAAAAAAAGGAAATCAAATAAATGGAGATGAGATGAGATGAGTTGTCACATTATTATTGGATGATGTGAGTGATTTTTTAAGAAAACTAGTTTTGATGTTGTTCGGTTAGCCAAAAAAATAAGGAAATGAATTATAAGAAACATATTTCCTGTAGTTTTGTTGTTTTCTTTTGTTTGGTTCATACTTAAAAATAAGAAATGAAATGAGATGAGATGAGTTGTCATTGTATTATTGGGTGATGTGAAGAAAGATTAAGAAAAGTGTTTTCACAACTTTTTGGGATGAAAATAAAGAAATGAAATGTTAATGAGATGAGGTGAATTGTTATAATATTTTATTCGATGATGTGAGTGATTTGAAATGATGAAAAGAGATGAGTTGAGTGATGTTTGGATGAAAATAATATTTTATTAGATGTGACGGATGAGTTGTTAGATGAAAAGGCTAAATACCCATATTGGTATTTTAATTCAACCCCATTTACCAACAAGGTATTTTAATTAGGAAATTCGGCGATAAGACATTTTAATTGAATAAAATTACCATTTAGGTCCTTTTTCTCGTCGGCGGCCACTTTTCCGGCGAGAACTCATCACGTGCGTTGCACGTGGGGGCTTAATATGTGTTTAAGATGCTGATGTGGCTCTGTTTTCTGACGTGGCAGGGAATTAACCCTCTACTGTTCATCATCCCCCGCCTCTCTCTCTCTTTTTCTCCTTCCCGAACCCACGTCCACCGCCGCTCCTCCCCTCGACCACCGCTCCGGCCTCCGTCGCCCTCAGCCGAGGTCACCCCCGCGGATTAATTCCCTGCCACGTCAGAAAACACATCTTAAACACAGATTAAGCCCCCACGTGCAACGCACGTGATGAGTTCTCGCCGGAAAAATGGCCGCCGACAAGAAAAAAGACCTAAATGATAATTTTATTCAATTAAAATGTCTTATCGCCGAATTTCCTAATTAAAATACCTTGTTGGTAAATAGGGTTGAATTAAAACACCAATATGGGTATTTAGCCTAGATGAAAATAATATTTTATTAGATATGGTGGATGAGTTGTTAGATAAAAATAATATTTTATTAGATGTGGTG